AATTTAGAAAATTAATATTCATCTGCCCCTGGCTGCCTATCATGCGGCCCTCGATGGCTTGCCAAAACTCAGTAAGCAGCCCTCTGCCCAAAATAATTGCCCACCCCTGCACTAACAGAAGAATTGTGTTGTAGCAGTTTGGTTGGCCACTGTTCTTGTTCAAAAAAACACGTGGAAGGCTTTATTTTATTAGAGTTTTAATTTAAGCATTTTTGTGCATGTGTGAGAGAGAAATTATTAGTTAGCAGGTTTAAAAGAATGAGCAGAAAGGATTTTTTTTGCTCAACATGTAATTAATGTGTGGAACTCCATTGCCAGTGTTGTGAAGGCTGATGTCCATCAGTGGGTGCTAAGCATGATCGAGTTGTAGTGTCAGAATTAAGACTTCTAGGCTTCTGAATGCTGGAAGCTGTAGGGGGATTGCTCAGCAATCTGTATATGCCCTGCTTAATACTTTAGTATACAGTCTCTGCAATGGAGAGAGATGGGATACTGGGTCAGATGGACAAAAGGCATAACCAATTATAGGAGTTTTATGTTCTTCCTACAGAAATGGGTATTTTGGACCCACAGTATTAAACAAAGTTCAAGTGGTTTAAGCTATTTTTAAAAATTGTATCTTCCCCATTTTGAAATTAAGTCAATCACTTGGAAGGAAACTAGCAGGGAATTAGAAAATTATAGACAAGGAGGGCTAGAAGGGACCTCAGGAGGTCACATCTAGTCCAACCCACTTCTCCAAGCAGGACCAGCCCCAACTACATCATCCCAGCCAAGGCTTTGTCTACCCAGGTTTTAAAAACCTCCAACGATGGAGACTCCACCACCTCTCTGGTAACCTGTTCCAGTGTTTTACTACCCTCCATTTACCTTGCTGCAACTGGAGCCCATTGCTCCTTGTTCTGTCAATTCTGGACAAACTTTCAGCTCTTAACAGAAATAAAATCACTGTCTGGCTTACAAATATTTTAAGGAATCCAACAGGATAAGATATGTTGTTGAGGTGGGGGGAAACATTTTTGTCATCCTATAATAGTGCTCATTTCAAGCAATAAACATTACTGAAGAAAGTGGCATGAATATTGTAGAGATGTTAGACTTAATTTCTTCAGTGCATTCTAGGATTTATTGGATCCAAAGTGCTGTATAAGCTCAAATGTCGTTAGAAAAATGGTGAAAAAAATAAGTTTTTGAAAATGATGAGGTGCAAATAGAATCATTTTTAAAGCGCCATAACTTGGCACATTTTAAACGATGCTAGACAAAACAATTAAAACAGACTTCAGGGAATAATTTTAGGCCATCGTGACATATCTAGAATCTGACGTCTTACTAGTTTTTCAAACAGTATCTTCAAAAGGAATTTTATGTTGGAAAAAATGCTGGAGTATGAAATTTATAACAGATTTGTTTGATCACTCCTAAAAGCGCAATTTAATTTGTTACAGGAATTCGCTTTCAAAACTGTTTCCACCCATGTGGGCATCTGACCTTGGAAACACCGGTGACTTCTCAGGGCTTTCTTCCAAACACTCTTTAGAGAGTAAGGATTTTCCAAACCTGATTGGTGCACCAACCTACTATCAAGAACACTTGCAAAAGTCACCTGATATGGAAACTTTACACAGGGGGTTTGAGGACCTTCATCTTATAGAGTCTTGGCTCTCTCCTCCAGACCCTTCCACTCTGCCACCTGACAATATCTTGAACATTTATCCAGAAAATTCTGCCTTTCAAAATAATGCCGTAATTCAGCAAGAACAGTTTACATTGCAAAATTTAGAGTTTAATCAACATGTGTGCAATTATGACGAGATGAAATTAAATAGGAACTATGAAAAGAACTGTTCTGATTTTGGCACTTATTCTTCTCAAAACAGAATCAAAGATGTCGCTAGTATTCAGAAAGAGTATTGGAAAACTGACCGAGCAAGAGGGAAACTTATGAAAAATGACACCCACGAGCAAACCAAGTACTCGCCTAATTTATCCAGTCCCCCTGTTGATGGCACATGGGACAAAGTGTGCCAGGATAACCACAGGTTTCCTAAAAGATATGAAGACTTTACAGCTTCTCATAAATCTCAGCCACCTATTCACTCATCGCAATGTTTTTTCAATCAGTCCTCGTCTACTAAGGAAAATAGCTTTGTTGGAGTAGCAAACAAAAAATCACAGGGAGCCCGTATGCAAAATGGCCATAACTGTTTCAATTTGGGGGAAACCTTGAATAACAACGAATGTGAGATCTATCTGAATCCTAAAGAATGTTCTCATAAACCCCCTGAATATGATTTGTCTGTGAGAACTGTTCAACAAAATGGAAGTTACTCATCTTGCCATGGCCATGCATGGCTAGACGGTAAAATCTTAAGTCCCACAACTGCATCTGATATTGCATATGGTAAGCAAAACCAAGTAGTAACAAGCCCACAGTCCTCTTCAGGGGTTTCAACTATGTCCAGTGGATCCCCCACACACCAGGCTGTAACCCAGGCCTCTTATTACTCTCAAGCGTCACCAGTACTTTCTGCACGAAAAGATGGAAGGTTACAAGTATCAAATGGTATTTCTAGTAATATGGGGTTTTCTAACTTCATTGGAGAAAATCAGAAACAGATTAAGCCTATTGGGCATTCCCAGCATGATTCGTTGGCTAGCAAGGAGGAGCAGTACCGCAAGCTACCTATTAATTTTTCGTCCAACTGGTTAACGCAACAGAACTCTAAAAGTGAAGAGTCGGAAAGGTACCATCGATTTCAAAAAAAGCAATGTCAAGACAATAACAAAGATGATAAAAGAGGTGGTAGGAAAAATTGGATTCCCCACTCTGGATACGCAACTTCAAATCGTCAGCACTTCAACATGTTCCAAAAGAGACCAGAGCAGAACGGTGGCAATATGTCGGATTTCATCAATCCTTCTTTTCTTCCCTCTTTCCCCTTAATGTCTGATTTTAAGCAAAATCCCAGCTTTCCTCCATTTAATACCCACCTGTTTTCATCAGCAAATAATTTTGCATTTCCTCCTTCTCCGTTTCCATTTTCGGAACTTGTTGACCTCTCTCACTATGATGATTTTAACCACTTGAATCCCTTAATTAATGATCTGTTTTGTGGGGAAATAGCTGCACCATACTTTGCCTTTCCAACACCTTTTAACAAGTATAGACCTCCACGACACCGAAGTGGGCCTGCTAATGAGCTTCACATGCGATTGGAAGAGTGTTATGAGCAGTGGAGAGCTCTGGAGAAAGAGCGGAAAAAGGTAATGTAAGTCTGTATAAGATGATGATTACAAAATGACTGTTAAACAGAGTTGAAATCCCTGCCTATCACTTGTGAAGAGGAGGAATCTCGCTCCCTATTAGAATACAGGTCATGATATTTCAGCTTAAACATATTTTAAGCCACATACGTAACACTCTATTTAGACTATATTAGAGATGGGGGTAGGCAACGTTTTTTGGCCGCAGTGCTGAGAGAACCACAATGTCTACCTTGGGAGGTGCTGGAGTGCCGACATAACGGAGCCCGGAGCAGCTGTTTGCAGCCTCCCAGCTGCAGCCGGCCTGCGGAAACCAGTCTGCTTGTGGCAGGGCTTGCAGCCTCACAGCCGCTTGCTTGGAGCAGCCTGGGCTCCGTGGCTGGCAGCAGCTGCTTGGAGGCCGGGCTGGCGATGGTGTGCTGAGCAAAACAGCTGTGTGTGCCAAGCTCGGCACGACTGCCGGGGGTTGCTGACCCCTGTTATAGATAGTACACGTGTGTATGCCGTTCTGCTTCTCATTATCCAGTCCCATTAGGGTTAGCATGTGTTCTGAAGCCCATACGTTTAGTGCATATTCATGGATAAGGTTCGAGCCTGGCTTGCACAGCTAAAGTTGGATGGATTATACCGCAGGGCTTTTGTTAGTCATAGATTCTTAGATGCTAGGGTCAGAAGGGACCTGAACACATCATTGAGTCCGACCCCCTGCCTGGGCAGGAAAGAGTGCTGGGGTCAGATCCCCTAGCCAGGTGCCTACCTAGCCTTCTCTTAAAGACCTCCAAGGTAGGGGAGAGCACCACCTCCCTTGGGAGCCCATTCCAAATTTTGGCCATCTTTACCATGAAGTTTTTCCTGATATCCAGCCTAAATCTGCTCTCTGTTAGTTTGTGACCATTGCTACTTGTTACCGCAAGAGGTGCCCTGGTGAAGAGAGCATCTCCGATCCATTGCTGCGTCCCCCTAATGAATTTGTAGGCGGACACAAGATCACCTCTCGGCCTTCTCTTGCAGAGGCTGAAGAGGTCCTGGCCCCTCAGTCTCTTCTCATAGGGCTTGTCTTGTAAGCCCCTAACCGTATGAGTGGCCTCCTCTGGACCCTCTCGAGTCTATCAACATCCTTCTTGAAGTGTGGCACCCAAAACTGGATGCAGTCCTCCAACTGTGGTCTGACCAATGCCGCGTAGAGGGGAAGTGTCACCTCCTTGGATCTATTCACCATGCATCTGCTGATGCAGGATAAAGTGCAGTTAGCTTTGCTGATGATTTTGTCACGCTGATGACTCAGGTTCATCTTGGCGTCCACTATGGCTCCAAAATCCCTTTCCACGTCTGCACTGCAGAGAGGGTCACTTCCCAGCCAGTAGATGTGCTGGATATTTTTGCACCCCAGGTGCAGCACTCTGCACTTTTTGTCCTTGTTGTACTGCATCCTGTTGTGCACTGCCCACTTTTCTAACCTGTCCAGGTCTGCCTGCAATCATTCCCTACCCTCCGGAGTGTGCACTTCACCCCACAATTTAGCATCGTCCACAAACTTGGACAGAGTACACTTCACATCCAAGTCACTGATGACAGATTCCTGGGGCTTAGTATTCAACTCAACACAAATTGAGGCAGGGCCAGGAAGAAGAACTAGTGGTCATTTTTTAACTAATCTCAAATGTCAGAGGTGTCCCATTCCAGAAATGGATTTTTTTTTGGCTATGTTCAGACTTTATCTGCCCTGTATCTGGTGTTTCCTAGTCCATTCTCACATGCAAGTTTGATGTCCACGTGGCTGGTCTCCTTTTCAGGGTTGGCATCATCTTGAGGCACTTATGTCTTACTTGAGATTTATCCATGGGGCATTTCAAGCCATTATCAATAGTAGCTGACATGATCTAATGCATTTCCTAATAGTCTCAGGATTTGACCATCTGAGGGATCTTAATGAAGTAGTAGGCTGATGAGCAGGGATCCTGTTTTTTTTCTGATTTTAAAAAAATCCCCAATTTTTGGTTTAAAAAGAAAAAAAAAAAAACAATTCTAAATCCACACTTTTCCATGATCAAAATGAAACACACACATAGATATACATCTATATGTTTGTGGTGTTTCTTTCCATGATTAAAATGAAACACTGCAAATATATAGATGTATATCTATGTGTGTGTTTCATTTTGATTGTGGAAAAATGTGGATTTGGGGTTGGTGTGTGTTTGTTTTTTTTGGTTTAAAAAAAAACAAAAACAAAAACAAAAAGAAACTGGAGATTCTTAAAAATCAGAGAAAACCAGGTTCCCTGCTCATCAAGCACTTGACTTGGGAATTTAAACCTTGTGTTTTGGTGCAACAGCTAGAGTTTTACCTTCTAGGAACAATGTTTGCTTGAAGCTAGGCCCACTGTTTTTTACTTTTTAAAGGTAGCTTTGCTTGGTTACATATGTTGCCTCTAAGTTGTACTTGTAAATTGGGTAAATGCCCTTTATTTTTACTGCCAAAAATCATCTTTGTAGTATTTAATCCTGACTTGTGCTGTGAATGTACACAAAGAATAAAACTGGCAGGCACATTTCTAATGTATCTAAATATTAATTTAAAAAAAGAAAAGCTTACGCCAGTGATTCTCAACCAGGGTGCAGGAGCACCCTGGGGTGCTGTGAAACCCTTTTAAGGGTGTCATGCAGTATTAGCACTGTTAGGAGTAGAAACACTTGCATGTGTTTCACCAGATAAACCCAAAGATTTCAAATAAGAATCCAGAGAATCAATAATGTTTTGACTGGCTGTGGTCCTGAGATCTCTGCAAGAGAAGAATTGCTTTTTTATTTTTCCATAGTCAAAAAATGAGCAAAAGCTAAGAGGTGGTGTTTTCTGACGAGTGCTTTGAATCTAAAAAACCGTGGGAACCACTGTCATAGATGATAGAACATCACTAATTGCTAAATATTTTAAACAGATGTGTTTTTTCTCTTTAGGCTGAGGCTGATCTTGCAATACATTTTCCAGGAAAGCGGGTATCTAGCTCAAATAACACTCCTGTTTCTCAACTTCCTGCTAACCCTTCAAGAGTGGATCGTTTAATTGTGGACCAGTTCCGAGAACAGGCCAGAGTAAGCTTGGAGTATTACTTAGATATCGGTGGTATCAGATGATATATGTGTGCATTGGTTTGTTCTCCCCCTGGAGGTTTATGCACTTAATGTTGGTATTTTCAAACCATCCACTAGGTACTCGCCTTAATAAGAAAAATGGAAAGGCTTCAAGGTAGTCCGGTCCATGGTAACATATCTGCTACTCTGGAGCATCATTTAGAAGCCATCCATGTTACACAAGCAAAGCGTAAGGATGAGATCGTTAATGCTGCTAGTCTGCAGAGACAAGGAGCGCCTCGTTATAACAGTGAGAAAGGTAAATGTTTTGTATTACTCGGTGGTTCTCAAAGTTTTTAAAAGATCAGCTATGCAAATGTGTTAACAGGAATTTTGCTAACAGATTTTAAATATTGCAACTTCAGAAAGACTTGCAGCCTTTGACACTATCTTCCTGTGCCACGTACCTTTTTAAAAAGGAAAAATAAACTTCTTCCTTTGTATCGGGTAACGTCTGTGAGAGCTTACTTAGTTTTTACTGGCACTGTTTTTTTGTTTTTTTGTTTCAGCTAGAAAATGTATCTTTTTTTGTGGGGGGCGGGGAGAGAGAGGTCTAAACAGTAAAAGAACAATCTCGGCAATCCTCTTTATATTAAATAATCTTATCTTGAGTTTTTTCATCTATGTACTATTAAAGTACTACATGATAATGAGGTTCACTCCTGCAAAAAACAAAACAAAAAAAAAAAATAGACTGGTTGAAAAGGGATACTTAATATAACAAATCTACTAAATCATGTCCCTAATTTCAGGCTATGCTCACTTGAACCAGTGCTTAGTTTTTTCATTAATGGTGATTTTAGTGGTCTTTTGTTCTTGGTTTACACAGTGAAAATTGCGTGGCTGTAGATTGCTCTTGAATGGATGTTTTATCTGCCACAAAACCACCACAAATTTGGCATGATTTGTAACTTCTGTTGAGGAATAGCAAGAATTGTTATGCGACAGAAGTCAAGTGCCTTGGCAGCGCTACATGGAGGAACTTGCAATGTGCTTCGTTTCTGCCTTTGTCATGCTTGGCTCTCGTTCAGTGCTTTGTCGACTGTTCTGTTCTGTAGTTTGTATCAAATTTGCTTTACTCTAACACTCCTGCCTTCTAAACAAGCTACAAAACATTGGCTGCAAGCATTTAGCATTGCTGTACCTCATTTAGGTTGGTTGCTTACTAAAGAGCTTCCTAATTGCCAGGAAGCTAACAAATTGTTGTTGATATATAAATAAACTCCTCTTTGATAGCAATCTTCTTGCACAAAAATAAGGAAGCTATCTTGTCTTGCACATTAATTTCTTTGTAAAAGGAACATGAAGATCAAGAGACCGCCCTAAGGACAGTTGATAGTCAGAAATGTGCCACAGGACAGCTTGGTCTTCAGTATTGCTCTTGCATCTACTGCATTTACCTGAAACCAAGATGACTCAATTTAAGACAGCCTCCCAAGAATTGGATTTTGTACGTGGAGCATTTGGAAATTTATAATTTTCCATGTACAGAATGTAATTATTGGAGGGTCATTTTAAATTTAATCTTCCCACTGCTGGAGCAGGGAAAGCAGTGGCAGGGGAGAGGCAGTAGGAGGGCAGGTGGTGCAGAGACAATAGGTGAGAGGCAGGTGGTAGGGCATACGGAGGGGGAGGCAGTAGAGGGCCAGGTAGTGGTGATGCAATGTGGGACACAACAGGTCGGGGAGTCAAGTGTGTCCTGTCCCCTCCACCACTTGCCCACCCACACTGCCTGCCCATGCGGCCTACTGCCTGCCCCCCAGATGCCCCCTGCACCCTAGCTGGCTCCTCTGCTGCCTGCCCCTGCACCACCACTTACCCTGTAGCCCCAACTCCAGTAGGGCTCTGGCACCACTCTGGCCCAGGGCACGAGCTCATGGTTGATCCATCCGAGCCACACAGCAGCTGTTGCAGCAGCTCCAGCCAGAACTGCTGTCATCACTGCTGGTAGTGGGCTGAGCCAGGGCCAGGGCAACCATGTGCTCCATGCCCTGGGGAAATGTGGGGCGAGAGCAGTGCTGGAGCTGGACCCAGACAGTAAGGTGTTTGGGTTGAGGAGGCTTCAGGAGGGAGGGCAGAGGCAGCAGGGGGTGAGCAGCGGTTGCAGCTCCGAATCCAACGCCCAGGTCAGGACTGGAGTCTGATCCACAGCAGCCACCTGCCCCCCACCACCTTGTACACGCGTCCAAAGCCAGGGGCTTTCCCCACATTTTAAATGGGAGGGATATTGTCTGGGAATTAAGTAAATATGGTATTACTTTCATGTTCATTTAGCTAGACTTCAAAAATTTAAGCACATAAATGTTTAAGATGGCAGCTTGTAGAATGATGCTCAGTACTATGATCTAATTTGGCATCAAGTAGCACTGCTTATTTTTTCTAATGCAAATCTATGACTAGACAGCCTAAGCAGGGCTGAAGGTGCCTTCTCTGTTTAATACTGGGCATAGACAGATCTTTTGTTGGGAAGTCAGCCTTAGTAGAAAAGACCCATTTAGAGCTTTGATCAGCATTTCCACAGAGATGTTGTTCTATAATAGAACAGAGTGTTTCCCTGGCATGTGATAAAATGGTTTTCAGAAAGTTTGGTTAAGGTCAGGGTATTCTAGTCTCTGATTTTTTGGAACAGTAGACTTTTTTTTTTTAAATAATTGTAAATTTTGAGACCAACAGTACCCCCCTCCCTAATGGGTAAAATGACAACTACCACGCAGCATAATTAATTGTCCTACTGGTTCTGCTAAGAACTTAACGTATAGGGCAGGGAAGCTCAACCACCAGCACAAAAAACTTCACTGCTTGCTAGCCAGATTTGTTGGTGGCTCAGAGGAAGGGTTGCAAGCAGAGGATCATCTTGCTCCATCTTGTATATACTCTTCAATATCCTTGGATGAGGCTGTAGTCCCTGTGCCCTCTATCCTGACACTAGATGACTACAGGAGCTCCTGGAGTTGATTCATGTAATGGCTAATACACTGGGGATCCTGGCATTGTAGATTCTGGAGCTTGTGTGACATTTTTCTTCCCCTTGACATCTTATAATACCCCATTGGTGAAGGACTTTTTGAGTTAATTTAATTACCCTGTAAGATGCCTGCTTCTCTGGAGTTTGCATGCTCAAGTCTCTTACCAGCGCTTCAGGCTGTTGCTATATTCAATAGACACTGCTGTGATTAGGAGTTAGTGCAGTGGATGGAGGACAGCCACCAGAAAGCAGCATCCAAATACCAATGGCATGTCTGTACTCCTTCCACAAAGCAGTTGAGAAGCTACCAAGAAACACAGCTTTGCCTCCTCTGCATGCATCAAACTGAGAAAAATGAGACTGACTGTTCTGGCGGTTACTGTGAGCACCTCCCATTGCAGCTCTTGAGATCTGTCCTTCGCATTTCTGTGTGCATGTGTGTTCACCTCTTCTCTGCATTTGGCACGTGTGGAGTGAGAGTAGATGGGCAGGGCATACCCTTTTCCAGCAATCCCAAAAGTGTCACCAAAGTGGTAAAGACATACCCTGAAAGTAAAGGAGCCCCTCAAAAGATTCATTTGGAGGAGACTTGATGATGTCAAGAATTTTCAATAACTGAGCTGTGCTGGTTTCATACAAAGATCTTAACCAGGCTTTTGTGGCTACATCCGATGGCAGTGTTTTTTAAAACGGAGAGGAATTAAAGCAGTTTGTTGCAGAAGGTGAGGTAGTGGCATGTACAGCCACCCAAGCTGCCCTCAAATGCTGCAGTTTCTGCACATGGTACTATGAGGAGATCTTTATTTCTAGCCACTGGGGATCCCTAATAGAGTACAAACATCAGATTTTCTGTTCTGTGGGATGTGAGCTTTTCGTTGCCAGCACAGAAGAAACATTACACTCTCTTGTCATGCTGGGTTGCTTAGGCATTCATAGATTAAGGGTCGGAAGGGACCTAGTAGATCTTCTAGCCCGACCCCCCGCCAGGGCGGGAGAACAACAAAAACCCCCAAAAAGAGAAACGGGACTCAAACGAGTCCAGCCAGGTAGGCATCCAGCCTCTTCTTAAAGACCCCCAGGGTAGGGGCCAGCACCACTTCCCTTGGAAGTTGGTTCCAGCTCCTAGCCGCCCTAACTGTGAAGTAGTTTTTGCGGATGTCCAATCTATACCTCCTCTCCATCAACTTGTGCCCATTACTCCTTGTTATGCCAGC